CCCCCCCCCCCCCCCTGTCCCTCCTCCTCCTGCTGAAAAGATGAAGCTCCCGAGCAGACCAGTCTCAAGTAAAAAAAGAAAAACGCACGTGAACCGGCACGACACTCACTTGCTCCAGTCCATGATCTCTCTCGGGAAAGGCTTGCACTCAGGAACATCCGCCTTCTCGGGAAAACCCACCCCATCCCGTCCAAGACGCGTATTATTACCCCATGCGGTCCAGTGGGCGGCAGTGGCAAAGGCGGGTGCGAGGAGGTCTTCGGGGACGGGCGGCGAAATACTTGACGATTGAGGGTTTGTGGGACGGGGGAGGTTCAGAATCGTCCGAGCGCTGGTTGGGTAGGGAAGGGCGCTGGCGCTTCGGAGGCGACGGGTTGGGATCGCAGCTATTGCAGCACAATAGAAGCAGCAGCAGCCAGCCAGTCAGCCAGCCAGACCCACGACCGAGTGCCAAAAATAAATATAAATACAGGGACTGCCAAGAATGTGTGATGGCGGAAGGGCCTAGGTGTCGAGGTTGTCACGAGAAAGTGAAGGGCACGGGTACGGTGCGCATGTTTTGGTACGGTAGAGCTGGCGTGTACCGCCCCAAGCAGACGGCAGCAGAGCATGTGTTGGCGGGACGTTCCATCCCGTCACGTCACACCCCGGTACGGAATTATCGTGTGGTATGGTGCGCGTTGTGTTATCGAATGGGTTGTCACACTACAGCACTGGGCGAAAACGACCATGAAAGGAGGGACAAGCAGCTGTGTCGTTGTTTTCAGAATGACAACCAACCCGTTGTTGTCTTCACACAAAACAACTTTCCGGTCTCCGCTCAGTACCTTCTAATACCCGTACTTGTCCAACTGACGGTTTGGCCCATCACCCAACGCCTGACCGGGGGTGATAAATGAATGCGTGCTCGGAGAAACATGCGTACCTGGTTCATGATAAGGGAGGTGAAGATGGTGTTTCCGTCGATGATCACGGTGCCTCCGCCCGAAAACCTCTTGATCAACGGTATCTTCACTTCCACACAAGGACGCGCGACGAAAAAAAAAAAAAACACAAGGGAGCGAAATATAACACGCGAGGAAGGCAAAGTCAGCGCGGCGAACGGCATCACACGTGCGGACACGAGTCCCACCTCCGACGAATCACTCCAGTCCATGTACCCTCAGATTGTCGAATAAGAAAAAATGAAGGCTGCCAAAAAAGCATGTCAATAAATATCGTGGCAAGTAAAGACACCCAACAAACATTTCTTTGTTTCGTGACATACCAACCGTGGCCCGCCGCGGGCGTGTGCTCTTCCCCCGAGAGAAAGTGACATATCACGTTTTTTGACCACGGCAGACTAAGACCCGCGCGGCGAGGGCAGGAACTCCCCCCCCGTCCTCCCCCTCACCTTGTCGCGCTCTACGAGCTCCAGGTTGCACATCTTCTCGGGCTTGCCGGAGATGCCCAGGACCACCGTCGGTTGTGCCTCTGGGTGACCTTCATTGAGCACCAGCCTGTACCCGCTCGCGCGGCGAAAACGGCACCCGCAAATAAGCCATTGAGACACCAATCAGAGGTTGTCGCACGTATTGTTTCCCGCTACATGTAAGGCTGGCGTATTTTCGATGGTCAGCAGGTTGGCATGGGTTAACCTAAAAGACAGACAGGTAGACAGACAGACCGCACTGAAACTGATATACTAGTTTAGTTTTTTGTTTGTTGTTGTTTTTCTCCCAGCATTGGATTCTGTCGTCTGCCCCTCTGGTCCCTATCCTCCACTTCTATCAGCTAGACGACCCAGCCGGGGTCACATAGGGGGGGGGGTTGGACCCCCTCCTGCGGTTCCTGTCTGAGATATTTTTCTCGCGAGAAGGGTACAGCAATCCCTTCCCTCGCGACTTATGAAGTCGATCAATTTTACTAACAACGAGCTTTGCAACGCGTCGCTTCCAACGGAGACCAGGATTTAATAAGCGAGAAAAAAATTCACTCTGTCGGGACTCGAACCCATGCCCTGGCCCTTAACAGGCTACGAGGCTACCCACTAGACCAACGGGGCGACCGGTGTAGTGTCATTGGTCAGCCGGTTGGCGCAGTCGACGCCAATATTCAGACAGACAGACAGACAGACAGACAGCTGCAAGACGGCTGTCCTTGCATTGGTCCACCCGATAGCGCAATCGACGCCAATTCAACAAGTACACGCGGGCGTGCACGTCGGGGTTGAACGGCCATCTACAGGGTCTCGAGATATGAGTGGGAAGGGTAGGCACGGCACAGGGCTCGTGGAGCGGGGTTGTGGGTACACCAAACAGCAGCTCTCCGAAGAGGTCGGTGTGAGTATGGATTCATGCGTCGTGTGGTGTTCCTCTAGTGATCTTCCAGTCGGTCTTTGATCTACTGCTGTAGCCGTCGTCGAACACAGTTCGCAGAGTGCCCTTGCCAGTGGGACGGGAGGTGATCATTGCATATTTCTGAGGGGGTTGCATGTTCGGGCTAGAGGCCATTTTGTCTGTTTTCGTGCTCACCAACTACTACTGTTCCCTTCCAACCCGTGATTCGAAGAACCCTTTCAGCGGAGGGTCGTCGAGATGCCGCCCGCACGGCGCCGCACAACAGTGGAACATACATGCCACTCCGAGACACCAGTACAAACCGAATACTTCGACACAAGATAACGCACCGCCTGGACCGATTTTCAAACCTCGATTTCTCAACAGCAGAAAGCACCAAAAACGGCGGAGTTGAGCCGTCTCGTGTATGCATTCTCTTCGTCGTGGCGTAATCGAGCTTTGCAAATCGGTCCCGGGGGTGGATTATCTTGCGTCGTGCAGCAGTAGCGTGCACGTCGTGGTCCCAAGTTGCAGTAGTCTACTGCCCTATTGGTCGGTAAATATTTTCACACGTGACCTGAACACATGAAGTTACGCGCGGTACGTCGTACCTGCGCCTGGCCGGTGCTTTGACCATGGTAGGCACAATAGGGTACAAGCGTGGTTGCCGCGGCGAACGGGACATGTCTGCTGTGAAGTGGTACTTGAGAAGGAGGCCCTGCTAAAAGTAGGCAGGCGAGCATGTTCGAGCCCTCACCAGTTTGAAGTGGTCTTGTAAAACAGAACCTCTTCGATGCAAAGTTGTTGAAAAATCGGGACGTGCTTCAGCCGGAGCACCCTCAAAACACGTGCCATGCAGAGAACGCGTGAGATGTAGAGTGGTTGGATGCTGCGTCGAAAGCTTGAGCCTAGAGGCACGGCGGCCGAGACTGAACCGCCCAAAATCCTAACTGAACCTGCCGAAACCTTTTTCAGAACAGTTTTCGGGGCCCCCAACCTCCAATTTCCAATTGGGCCGCTTCCTTTCCCAAGTCCCAAGCAAAGAACACACAGCAGCACCGGAAACAGACAGCATCACCGCCAAGCACCAGTCTGGTGATGAATGGGATGGAGTGGCCAAGCTTTCCCGCGCGTTTTCTCGAAGATTCTGCTGAAGACTGGGGAAGGTGAGCGCAGAGGAACGATGCTTGGAAGGACACAGCAGTACAGCAGTACAGTACAGTGTAGCACGAAGCAAGATATCCCGCCGCGATGAAAGAACTTTCGTTTAGGTTAGGAAGAAGCTTGGTGGTCGAACACCACTGATGGTGTGTTCAGCAGTGGTGCAGGAAGTACGTGGGCGGTTTGGTGGCTAGGTGACGCGGACAACTGTATGACCGCTCCGTTGCCTTGTTGTTTTCGCTTCTGGTGTCCCAAAGCCAGGCGTTAGTGAATCCCCCGCCCCCCGATCGTACCAGAAGGACACCAGCGGCGTGAAACATGAACTCTGTACTCCTGCTGCCGTGCACCTCCGTATAGGTGGCCGACCGTCGAGCCTATTCTCGAGTGTATGGACACAAGTAGGACGCCGCAGAAACTCCGACAGCTAAGGAAACAGGGAGAATTCCCGAAACCATCGTGCGGATTGTGGGCGTATCCCAAATGGGCACAACAGTGGCAGCTGTGCAGTGACCCAGAGTGAATCCCAAAGCAACCACCGCAGCAAGACCACACGAATACCGTTCGTGCGTTGCAAATGAAGTATGCTGCGCATCAGCTGAACGTACAGCACGTGCGGGTAGGCAAAAATGGTTGCAACATGGACATGCATGCCTACGGCAAACGAACCCGCTCGTGCGTCTTGAGGGAATTACCGTTGCACACAGCAAGCCGTAGACGGGAAGACGGATCGTCTTTCCCTTCGAGCTAAACAACAAGGAGTCATTCTAGGCGACAGCTCCTTCAGTTGGTGTGACACGTGCACTGATATTCTACGCTTTTTGTCTTTCGAATGTTGCTGGTCGTTCAGGCTGCCAGCAGATGAGGGAGACGAGCTGGGAGAGGAGGCCTTGCTGGCCCAACTTGAAGAGGCGTTTGCCAACGACCGGGGGGGGGACCAAGACCACGCCAAGGCGCTAGGCACGATCCAGGTCGGTGTTCTTTCACTAGACGCAAACAGGTGATACCATTCAAAACCCTGATGCTCAAAAGGCTCGATAAGATCGAAACCTTAATTACTTGGCCATAAGCAACAGGTGCTCAGCTAGGACTCCAATACAAAAACCTCTACAGTCGCTGCAGGGTTTCCCCCCCAGAAGGCATAAAGAACGAGCCTCGAGTAGTGGAAGAGATTACAGAGTGATGACGCCTCCTGTTGTGCTGTCGCTGAGACTGGAGGACGATCGACGGGGCACAGTGAACCGTGGCCGGGCAAGTCGAACGCACGTTCTGGACAGTGTTGTGGGCTCAAATCTGTAGTTTCCTCTTCCAACGTTTTGCTGCCCTGGAGTTGCGAACAGCGTCGGGCGCGGAAAAATGCCAAGCGTGCGCGAGGGCACTGTAGTCTTCACATTTCATTCGCTTGTCCAAACCGCTGAGCAGCCGCTCGACATTCCATTTCAGTTGGTTATTCGCCACGCACTTACCCTCTACCGTTTCCTCGCATTCCCCCCCTGGGCTTTGCATTGCCTCTAGGCGTTCCTCTCGACTAGACGTATACGACTTATCGAAGACCTCCTTGTCCTGAGCGCGTCCTTGGGGGACTCTGGAGGAGGAGAGGGCGGTAGAGGCACAGATGTAGCAGCAGCGGCAATTCCACCTTATCGGGTAGGAGTGGAGCAGCTATCAAGCGCTCCCGACTTGAGACGAGAGCTCGCGCTCGCCCTCGACAACACACCGAAGCCATCTCCCGCCACCGGCGGGGCAAGAAACCGCGGGGGGG